ACACGGGCACCCCAGGTCACGGCCATGTGGAAGGCAGGCCGCACACGGGCACCCCAGGTCACGGCCATGTGGAAGGCAGGCCGCACACGGGCACCAGCTTCCTTCTTCCCATGACTGACCAGAGGAAGACACACACGATTCTGGAAAAGGCCGGGTCTCCAGAGGTCTCACCGTGCTTCCAGCAAAGCCTGGATGGTTCCAGCCCAGGACGGAGTAGCCAGCTGTAACACACGGAGGGTGGAGAGCTGTGTGACTGCGGGGTGGGGGGTGGGACAGGGGGGCAAGTAGGATAAAGCCACAGGTGGTCCAGGGGAGGGGACTTGCCCTCAGAAGTGAGACTCAGGCCTCACCCTGATGAACTGGGGGTCAGGCGTGTGTGGGTGTGGGTGTGTGTGTGGGGTCACAGCAGTGTGGGGGTGGACATAGCCGGGTCCAAAGGGTAGAGATAAGAGGTGAGTCATGGGCCTACCTTCCAGGGGCGTGGAGACACAGCCCACCTCATAGAATCCCGCATTTCCCTCACAGCAGATCACCTGGGGAGGAGACAGGAGAGCTGGGAGGGTGTTGGGGACAGCAGTCTGCACAAGGCCAAGGGACTGCAGGTGCTGTGACCGCCCCTCAGGACCACTTCCCCTGGGACCCACCAGGGAGACCTCTAACAGGATGGGAGGGGGGTCCTGGAGACAGCGGGGTGGAACCCATGGCCCTGGGCCTACGACTCTCCTGGGTGTACAGACAGCTTTTCTTCTCACTGCACTCCACGGCGCCCAAGCTGAAGCTGGGAGATGGTGACAGGTGGCAGAGGCAGCACTAGAAACCCACCCCGACTCACGCGCGTGCGGCGCTTTCCCGGGCCACCCTAAGGACAGGCTACTGGGGCCTGGCTACCCGGTTCAGGTCCCGGCACAGCTGCTCACCAGCTGTGAGAGTGTGGGCAGCTGGTCTACAGACAGCTCATCACCACAGAGCGGACTAACGGACAGACGGGAAGGACTCACAGACGGACGGTAAGGACTCACAGGCGGATGGGAAGGACTCACGGACGTACGGGAAGGACTCACAGATGGACGGTTAGGACTCACAAACGGGCAGTAAGGACTCACAGACGGACGGTAAGGACTCACAGACAGAGGGGAAGGACTCACAGATGGACGGTAAGGACTCACAGACAGACGGTAAGGACTCACAGACGGACGGGAAGGACTCACGGACATACGGGAAGGACTCACAGACGTACGGGAAGGACTCACAGACAGACGGTAAGGACTCACAGACAGACGGGAAGGACTCACAGACAGACGGGAAGGACTCACAGACGGGCAGTAAGGACTCACAGACAGTAAGGACTCACAGACGGTAAGGACCAAATGTGTCTTGCACGTGGCAAATGTTATCTTTGCTTTCTTGGGACAAGGTCTAGGGAGGTAACTCAGGCTGGCTGGAACTCAGAATCCTGCCTCGACCTCCTGAGACCCAGGCCTGCACCACCACCCACCTGCTGTTTGTTGTCGGGGGCAGGGTCCTGTGCATCCTTGAACTCAGTGTGTAGCAGACCGCCTTAAACTCCAGACCTTCGCCTCCTCAGTGCTGGGATGACAGTGTCGCCAAGCCAGGCTTTATGTGTGCTTCCTGCACACTAGGCCGGCTCTCTGCATCTCTAGCTCACATAACCAACCCTTCTCCTTTCCCTTTCTGGTGCTGGTGACTGAACTCAGGTGTGTGTGCATGTGTGTGTGTGTGTGCGCGCGCGCAGCACTCATCCCCAGCCCGCTGCTGTACTGCACACGCCAGGCTGGCAGACAGCTTCCAAGGATTCTCCATCTTCCCTCCCACAGGAGCGCTGGGATTACAGCATCTAACACGCCAGGCTTACCCACGTTATGGAAGCCAGAACTCACGTCTTCATGCTTATATGGCAAAACTTCACCCACTGAACCATCAATCCAGCCCTGGCCTTGAACTCCTGACTCCACTCTTACAGACATGCACCCCAATTCTCAGTGTATGTGGGGCTGGGGATGAAACCTAGGATTTCACGTATGCTAAGCAAGCGCTCTACCACCTGAGAAACCACCCCGTCACCCTCTCACAGCTTTCCTATGAAGAGGTCCTCGGGTGGAGCTGGAAGACGGCATTATTTCATTCTTGCTTTTTTTTTTTCTTTCGAGACAGGGTTTCTCTGTGTAACAGCCTCAGCTATCCTAGAGCTCACTCTGTAGACCAGGCTGGTCTTGAACTCACAGAGATCTGCCTGCCTCTGCCTCCCAAGTGCTGGGATTAAAGGCGTACAACACCACCATCCAGCTGGTTTGTTTTGTTTTGTTTTGTTTTTGTTTATGTGCATTGGTGTTTTACCTACATGGATGCCTGTGTGAGGGTATAGGGTCACCTGGAACTGGAATTATAAACAGTTGTGAGCTGCCATGTGGGTGCTGGGAACTGAACCCAGGTCCTTTGGAAGAGCAGTCAGTGCTCTTAAGCACTGAGACATCTCTCCAGTCCCGGATGGCATTATTCTTCATCATGGTCCCACAGCAAAGGAGTCTCTACTGCCCCCCACCACCTCCTTCGGCTCCCTGCCCCTTCTCACCAGCTTCTGCCCCTGGGGCTCAGCCGTCCCCCGACGGTCCACAAACATGGTGTCAATCTCGTTACCATCACAGGCCAGTAGTTTTGCCCGGCGCCCGTTACACTGAGCAAGGGAGATGCAGAGACCAGGTCATGAGGGGCAGGAGGCCACACCCCTAGGAGGACCGGGGAAGCCGCAGGTGGGAGCCTCACCTCTTCCACCAGCCGGGCCTGGCCCTGCAGCAGCACAGGCATGAGGGCCTTCTGGAGCAGGTACACAGAGCCTGGGTACAGCATCCGGCGCCCCAGGGTGTGCGCCACCAGGTAGCTGTGGGGACATGGTTAGTGAGGTTAGTGAACCCCCTCCCCTGCAGGCCCAGGGACTGATCTCAGCACTTGCGGTCCGACTCCAGGGCATGCTAACCCTCTCCTCTGTCAACCCTTGGTGAAACCATGTGAGCCTGGTGTCTCCAACCTTTTCTATAGATGTCCACTTTAGGGTTTTAGGAACGGGGACCATAGCTTAGTGGCAGAGTGCTTGCCTAGCACATGTGAGCCCCTGGGTTTGAGCCCCAGCACTATGAAAACAAACCAAAAATATTCTGTTGTGTCCCAGGACAATACAGATACATAGATCCCTCTAGACCTACAAAGGGTTAGGTCCTGAAAAAGCCATCACAAGTTGAAAATAACAGAGGCTGCAAAAGCACTTGACCCCACAGCCCCTGAACACGATAGCGGAGATGCCCACAACATTGAAGAGCACTCCTGGCTGATGAGGGCTGTGGCTCATAGCCCCTCCCCGGTCCCACAGAACATGCTGCCTATCGCTAGGCCAGAGAAAGAATCCAAAACTCAGCCGGCGTGGTGGCACACGCCTTTAATCCCAGCACTCGGGAGGCAGAGGCAGGTGGATCTCTGTGAGTTCAAGGCCAGCCTGGGCTACAGAGTGAGTTCCAGGACAGTCAGGACTGTTTCACAGAGAAACCCTGTCTCGAAAAAACCAAAAAAAGAAAAAAAAAAGAAAAAGAATCCAAAACTCAAAAGTTGAACTATAGCAAATTAGGGACTCCTTGCATATAATTCTGAGAGTTTTACGAGATAATTTCTAGGTACAATAAATAAATGCAGTTAGTAAATATTATTCTGTTAATACACAAAAAACACATTTATTAAAAGCTCTCAAGGGCCAACAAGATGGCTCACTTGGAAAAGGGATTTGCTTCCAGGCCTGACAACCTGAGTCCATTCAACCCTGGGTCCCACATGGTAGGAGGCCCCACCAGGCATGCCAAGGCAGGAGGCCACACATATGTACATAAGTAAATGTATTTAAGAGTTTAAGTCTTCAATAGGACCAGGTGGTTACTGGTCAGTGGTGGAGCATTTGATGAGTATGCCAGACCCTGGGTCCTACCCTCAGCACCGTTCAAAAACAACAAAAGATGATGGTTTGTAATTCACACAGCGGTCTCCAGACCGACTGATACAGCCAGGTATGGCAACACACACCTGTACTCCCAGCACTTGGGAGATCAGGAACTCAGGGCCAGCCTTAGCTACACCACCAATTTGAGACCAGCCTGGGCTGCATGAGGCTGTATCTCAAAAAATAAAAACAAGACTCATCAATAGGTCAAGATCTGTATCCTGAAAGACACCAAACTGGATCACATTCCTGTCAGGGCAAAGACCTGGCTGTTTTGTTCCCAGTGACAATACCCACCACACAGGAGCGCCACAAGTATTTACTGCGAGTGTGGCCTCCTACGGACGGACGGACAGACGGGTAAGACGTGGCGGGACTGGCAGAACAACCACAGAGCCACTTCCAGCCACGCCTCACACAGGACGCATCCCGAGCCGACAGCCAAAGCCAAGTCCACCCCTTCCTTGGTGTCTAGAGCCTGGTGCTCACTCCTGCCCCCTGCTGCAATGTCGGACTGAGCACCCGCAGGGCCGGCGGGCGGGCGGGCCTCTCTGAGTCTGAGGCCGGTCGCAAACCCCCAGTGCCCGCGGCTGAGACCTCCGGCTTTACTCTACCCTCGGGTAGGCGGGGAAGGTGGCTACCATTCCCAGCGTTTCCAGTCCATCTCAACAGTTCCAGTGAGGCAGGCTATTCAGATGGAGAAACTGAGGCACAGTGGGGGCCAAGGTGGGGAATGAAGGAGCAGATGGGCCAGGACAACTGCAGAGCGTCACACCGGAACCTGTGCCAGTGAGAGCAGGGGTCTTCTCTTCCCTTCACTGCAATGCCTGCTGCCCCTCCAGCTGCCGGGAGCTTGGCATCCGCAGACGCACTCGCCCTCTGGCTCTCCACGTGCTCCCCTGAAGCCCGGACCTGGCAGAGCCTTTCCCCACGAGACAGCGCATACAGCACTGGACCCTACGGACGGCAGCTCCTCTACGACCAAGTTCACGGCCCAGGGGCCTTGGCCTGTACCCCTCCTCCAGCAGGCCTCCCCCGTTTCCCACCTGGTGATCTGACAAGGCAGCTTCTTGACCCTGTTGAGGAATGTGTCTGCTGTTCCCCGGTGCAGAGGCTCTGGGCGGAGCAGGGCCACACCCCTGCGGGAAGGGCCTCCTCGGGACCCCTTCCTGAGGAAGAGAAGAAAGGAAAGGGAACAGGGTGAGGAGCAGCAGGCTAGACCGAAGATCAGAGGGATGAGAGGCAGTGCCAACGAAGGGAAAAAGCCAGGTAACTGGCGCCTCACCGGCTGCTGGGCTCCTCCCAGTGGAAGTCGACTGGCCAGCTCCTGAAGTCGAAGTTGTAGTTGGCCAGCTGCCTCTGTGGTGGGTACAGAAAGGACGGAACAGAGAACTGAGGACTGAGGGAGGCCCAGCTCTCTGCCCTCAACACTGCCATCGGGCAGGACCTGCCCCCATATCCAGGGAGACCGAGTGGAGGTCTGTGCTCTCTCTCTTCTAGATGGAAAGATCTACTAGGACCACAATATCGGGACAAGGCAGCTGCCTCCCTGACCAGCTCATCTGTCCATCTCTACAACTCTTCACTCTGCCTTCCTGAAAATCTAAAGCTGGGGTAGGGTGCTTGCTTAGCATGCAGGATGCCCTGGGTTCAATTCCCAATGCTACCAGAAACCCTGTTAAAATGCCAGGAATGGTGGTGTGTGCCCACGGCCAGCGTTCAGAAGCAGAGGAAGGAGGGCAAGCTGGTGGCAGCCTGGGATACAAAGTGAGTTCAGAGCTAGGCTGGGATGTGGAGTGAGATCCTATTTCAAGGACGGGTCATGGTAGCACATGCTGTGACCTCATATGTGACCAGAAGGCAAGAGGATCACCAGAAATACCAGGTCAGCCTGGGCTACATAGCATGACCCTGTCTTAAAGAACAAAAACAGAAACACAGAAATATCTAAGGCTGATCCACCCAGGGGTGCTTCTGTGCAAAGGCGGGGTGGGGGCTGCTGGCCGCTGACCTGACGGCCCCGTGACCGAGAGGACAGCCACAGTGAGCTCTGTGCACCAGGCTCTTTTCCAGCGGCCAGTGCTACCCTGTAACATCTGTGCCTACGTCTTCTTCCGGCTGCACTGGGTGGGCCACATGCTGTGGGCGGTGGGGCTGCATCTTCGTAATCCGCCGTCTTCCCCCACACCCAGAGCTCCAAGGTCTCTATTTTGAGGATTATTTTTTATTTTTTGCTACAGAAATGTTTTTTGACATTTTCAAAAATAACTTGACTAAGAAAGAGCAACAGGAAAAAAATGTACAAAAATGTAAATGACAAAACAAAATAAGAGGAGCAGAGCACATCCCAGCAGGCTTGGCTCAGACCCAGTCTGGACTCAGCCACTTCCGCGCTCCCACACAGGGCACTTAGCCTCTTTTGCCTCTCCTTCCTCAGATGTGAAATTGAGGGTCATTACTTCCCCTCCTGTGGCAGCGAGACGGCTGGAAGGGTATGCTCAGCACGCCCGCACACCCTGTAGAGCGTGATGACACAGCCCATAAACGGTGGGGTGACTTGGCCATCAGCGCGGCGATGGCGGTCATGGCTGTTTGATCCCTTCATCCTAGGAAGGGGCTTTATGAGGCCCTACAGCCCCACCTCAAAGATCACCACACTCCGGTAAGAGCAGGCCTGGCACACGGTGCCCTGCTGGCAACACTCTGCTGCTGGGCACGAGAGTAGACGCACCTGCCCATTTCGTTCTATCCCCAAAGAACGCCAGTGTGGTGTTCAAGGCACACAACAAAGTAAACACGGAACTGAGCCTCTGAGACAGAGGGTTCTCATCGAGACACTGCGGATGCTTCTATGTTTAGACAACTCTTGAGCGTGGACGTGGAGGAGTGGAATGTTCTAGCAGAACAGCCATTAGACACTTAGAAAGCGTATGGCAGTGTGCAGTAGAGACCCAGCAGAAGCCGGTGCCTCGGATGGACTGCGGGGAGCAGGACACACTGTCACCCTCGGAGGACCCCTCACCTTGTTTTCTGCAGACTGGTTCCGATGTGTGGCTTCCAAGATAGTGATGAACTGTCGGTACTGGGGGTTGGTCCAGCGGCCGATGCCTGGAGAAAGAGGATAGAAAATTATAGGTAAACTGGGAAGCCAGATACCAAGGAATTAAGAGAAGAACTGGAAATGGACAAGGAGGCCTTGAAAGAAGAAAGGAGAAGAAATCCAGGGCTTCTCACATGGGGAAACAGAACTTCCCCCACACAGCCACTGGCTGCAGGATCCTTCTCCTGCGAGTCTGTAGGTTTTATTGTTTTAATTAGCACTATTATTATTATTATCATTATCTTATATTGTGTGTATGTGTGTTTGAGTGTGGGCGTACAAGTGCCACAGCAGGAATATGGAAGGCCCAGGACAACTTCAGGAGTCAGCTCTCCATTTCCACCGTGGGATCTGGAGACTGAACTCAAGTCACCAGGCTCGTGCAGTGCTTTTACTGGCTAAGTCATTCCACCAGCCCCTTGACTCTGTTTGTCTGGGGTTTTCTTGTTCTGGGACGTGATCTCACCATGTGGCTGTCCTGGAACTCACTATGTCATAGAGGCTGGCCTGAGAGACCCACCTGCTCTCAGTCTCCCGGGCCCTGAGATCCCAGGCTCGCATCACACCGGACCCTTCGGTTTATTTCTTTTGTTTTGTTTTTGAAACAGGGTTGTGCCCTGTGCCCCAGGCTGGCCTGCAATTCATTATACAGGCTAGGATGGCCGAGAGCTCTCAGCAATTCTGCTTCAGCCTCCCAGGTGCAGGGGGCCTGGCAGTTTCTTTCTCTGCCTTGCAGAACGCTCACCTTACTGATTTCAGGAGTCCCCTGCTAACAGCGGCTTCCCTCCCGTCCTCTTCAGTGTCTCCCAAGCTTGCCCTCTGCATGCTCCTAACCCTGCCCCTGATGCCAAGGCCTTGCCCCCCCCCCCCACCACCACTTCCCCAACTTCACTCCCTGCATCTGCCCCATGGACTCTCGCTGCCCCCTGGCCCATCCTGTCCACTCCACTTCCTGGAGCTGCAGGTGGCTGCCTTCCTCTCTCCAAAGGCAGCTGGTGATGCCTCTCTCTCCTCACTCCCCTCAGCAGGTGCTGTGTGCCAGGGCCATCCTGCCTACAGAGACAGGCAGGCAGGCAGAGCTCCTGGCCTCGAAGGCTGGCACTGTGCCGGGGTGGTGGACTGGGAAAAGACATCAGCCAGCCGACAGGAGATGTCAGAGGGCAAGTGCCCCACAGAAACAGAACCAACAAAACCGACTCCGTGGCATCGAGGCGACACTGAGAGAAGGAAGCGAACGGAGAGTGGTAAACGCAGCGGGGCGGGGCCATCTGCAGTCCTGGGCTAGCCTCGGGCAGCACACAGTCCTGTGTTCCTATTGTTGTTTGTTTTTTGAGACAGGGTTTTCTGAGTAGCCCTGGCTGTCCTAGAACTCACTCTGTAGACCAGGCTTGCCTCAACTCAAGAGATCCGCCTGCCTCTGCTTTCTAAGTGCTGGGATTAAAGCACACACCACCACCGCCTGGAAAAACACAGTTGAAAACACACATAAGAGGCCACAGAGACGGCTTGGTGGTTAAAAGCACTTGTTGCCCTTCCACAGGACACAGGTTCAGTTCCCAGCACCCACATCAGGTGGCTCACAGATGCCAGAACTCCAGTTCCAGGCTATCTGATGTCTGCTGGCCTCCAAGAGAATCTGCACACATGATACATGAAGGCAAATTCAGGCACACAGGCCCACATTAATAAAAAGCGAATAAACAATCTTTTTTTAAAAATGTAAAGTATTGAGCTAGAAAGATGGCTCAGTGATTAAAAGCACATACTGCTCTGGGCGCCTTTAGTCCCAGCACTCTTATTCACTTATTCTGGTAGAGTCTCACCATGTAGCCCAGGCTGGCCTGGAACTCATCAGCTTCCTGCCTCACTCTTACCCAAGCACCGGGACTAGAGGACACATGCTCATGCTTCTTCTGAACCTTTTATAAGTGAAAACTTAGTACCATCCACCTAACAATGTGTCTGTGACCTGCACGTGTCTGTATGTGTGGCTACACCACAGGATAACTTCATGCGGCCCTGGTGCTGTCTGCAGCTAAGGGTTATTTAACTGGGGCATGCTGTATTCTTGTTCACATACATTGCTTATGCACATGTGGGGTGTATGATATAAGCCACCTGAAGAAAAGCTGGAACCCTTAGACCATTCTCAGTTATTCCCCGCAGGGCCCAGCTCCAGCCTATGTTTGCAAAAAGTGTTTATCTAGTCATAGATGCAAAGCAGGCTCCTCCCCACCTACCTCGCAGGCAAGCCACACCCGCCAGCAGCAGCAGCAATGTCCCGGCATAGTGAGAAAACGGCACCACTTTGGACAAACTCAAGTAACCTGGGGGGAAGAGAGACAATATGAGAAGCTCTCACAGGGCCACTCAGCTATTCTTCCCAGTTTGCCCACAACCTCTCTCCCAGACCCTCTCTTTGGGTTAGCCATTTTCCTAGAGCAGTGGTTCTCAACCTATGGGTTGTGAACCCTTTGGCAAACCTCTGTCTCCAAAAATATTTACATCACGATTCCTAACAGTAGCAAAATTATTTATGAAGTAGCAACAAAAATAATTTTATGGTTGTGGGTCACCATAACATGAGGAACTGTGTTCAAGGGTCTCAGCATTAGGGGGGTTGAGAACCACTGTCTTGGGGGGAAGACTCCGGGTTTGAGAGGGAGGTTGAGCCATCCTCACAGGACCCCTTCCTCTTTGGGGAGTTGATCCAGCTGCCGGTGAGCTGCCATGTCCCCCCACCACTTCTGAGAGCACACTGACCTTTCCTGTAAGTCCCCCCACCACTTCTGAGAGCACACTGACCTTTCCTGTAAGTCCCCCCACCACTTCTGAGAGCACACTGACCTTTCCTGTACAAGTAGAGGAAGGCGAAGGGGGAGGAGTAGTAAGAGATGGACCAGAAGACCGAGGCCTGCAGCAGAGACGGAGACGGGCAGTCAGCACGCCTGCGCGTGCGCACACTGTCCTGCCTGTCCAGGCTCGGAGGGCGGGGGACCCGCAGTCCACACGCTAAGCAACTGCTCTGTTCATGGCATCATGCACACAGCGGGGATGCAAACGTCTGGTGCAGGTAGTGTGTCAGAGCACAGTGGAGGCTGACATAATTTCGTCACTCTGAAAACACCAGCCTCTCTGTCTACTTGAGTTAATCAAGCCTTCATAGTTGGCCCCACTCAAGAGAGTCCTAGACTTTGTCCCCGAGAGATGCAAAAACGTCACCATAGGAACTCTGCCAGGGAGAACAGCTGCCTCTGCAGCCAGAGATGTTAGTTGCCAGGGAGGACAGGTCACCCGGGACTGCAAGCTCAGAGACCTGCAGATGATCCCATGGGTAAACACCAACTGTATGCTGGTGTGTATGTGTTAGCAAGTTCTTCTGCACAGAGCTCAGAGCACCCCCCCCCCACCTCCTGGGGTGCTGCCTTCCCCCAGGCTGCAGAGGAGTAGCAACCCGAGAGCAGCTGGGTCTGACAAGAATCACTGAATCGCAGATGTAGGGCAGACTTACCAGTGCCAGGATCCTGTCAGCATGCTTCTCCAGGGCATAGGGCTGATAATATGTATCCTGCCAAAACAGATGGCCTGTTAAGGACCCTGCCAGCCGACAGGCCCTCCCTTCCTTCCAGAAGCCCTAACGTGTGCCACCTTGTTCTGGCCTCCCTGGCCATTTCTCTTGGGCTACTCCTGGCCTGTCCTGACACTGAGCCTGACTTCTCACCTCTGACCCTGAAAAACAACCACAGGGCGCTGGACTTGGAAGCAAAAGTGAAAGCAGCATTTGGGAGACCGACTCATTTTTCCAAAACCCCGATATAAATAGGATTGTGTGTGTACATGGGGAGAGGGTAAGAGTGGAAATGAAAGACTCCCTGACAATTCTAAGAGGGAAGGAACAGCATTTGACACAAGTTGATTCGGGAAGAATGTGGCGAGGTGTGGGCACTTTAGAAAGGCTCCTAAACATAATTTGCAACCAATAAAAAGGGAAGAGAACGTGTGGAGGGCGGACCACCACCACCTGCAGCTGTGGTGAACGCAACGACCCTGTCTTCAGGCTAGGTCTGTGGGTTCGAGTTGCCCAAGTGGATACACGACATGTAGAAGTCATTTTGAAAATGAAAAGTCGGGTTAAAGAGAAAGTCAACAGAGCCTAGGGGAGGAAGAAATTGGGAGTACAGGGGCAAAAGCCGTCAGCGCGCGCAGGCGACTCCAGACTCAACTGGGACGAGCCATGAACCCTGCCGGGCAGGGTCGGAGGACGCGGAGGGGGACAGCAAGCACTAGCGGTGAGGGTGAGCAAGCGTTGCTCCAAAGCCGTGCAGAGGGGCGACGGCTGGCCCAGCGTGACCCGGAGCGGGGAAGCGCCCACGGGCGGACTGCGCGGCCGCCGCTTGACAAGCGGCCTCCCCCGCTCCGACAGTGGACGCGTCCGGGCCGCGGGGGACCCGCGCGGTTTGGACCGCACCATGTTCTCAGCCGGGGGGGGCTCGACTCACCCAGGAGCTGGAGGAGGGGGCGGGGACGGCAGTGGGAGGCTCCGAAACGCTGGACGCGGCCCGATCCGTCTCCCTCTCCCGGTAGATCTTGTAGAGCCGGGGGCCGAGGACGCAGCTCAGCAGCTTCGCCATGGCCCGGGCTCGGGCCGCTGCTCCTCGGCCTCAGGTCCCCGCCGGCCCCGCCCTCGGCCTCCGAGGCGCTGCGTGCGTGACGTCAGCACGTACCGGCTCTTCCCCGTGGCCAGGTCCGGCCGGACGTTCGCGCCGCGAGAGGAGGGTTCCGCGCAGTTGGACCCAAGGTGCTGGGACGTGCAAGGGTTAGCCAGAGGCATTCTGAACGTCGAGAGTTAAAAACGTCCCGGCGTGATTAAATCTCCCCTCCCCCCCCACCACCTAACTCTTAATGCCAGCATGCTCTAGAGTCTAGCGACTGGAGATGTAGCTCAGTGGTAGAGTACTTGCCTACCATGCTGAAAACCCTGGGATTACACACACACACACACACAGACACAGAGAGAGAGAGACAGACAGACACACACACACAGAGACAGACACACACACGCAGACACACACAAAAGAGAGACACAAAGACACACAGAGAGCAAGACATGGGGATGTAGCTGTTAGAAGAAATACCAGGATTATTATGAAGAATTTATAATAATTTAAAAGGTTATTGAAAGAGGTAATCCACCAGGTGTAATGGCACACTTCTTTTATCCTGGCACTCGAGAGGCAGAGACAGATGGATCTCTGTGAGTTCCAGGCCACCCTGGTCTACATAGTGAGTTCCAGGCCAGTCAGGGTACACAGAGAGACCCTGTCTCAAAGTGCTAGGATTGAATGTGTGTTTCATCACCACACTAGCTCTTTTAAATTAAAAAAAAAAAAAAAAAAAAAGATTGCCGGGTGATGGTGGTGCACGCCTTTAATCCCAGCACTTGGGAGGCAGAGGCAGGTCTTTGTGAGTTTGAGGCCAGCCTGGGCTACAGAGCGAGATCCAGGAAAGGCGCAAAGCTACACAGAGAAACCCTGTCTAGGAAAAAAAAAATTTTTTTTTTTTTGTGTGTGTGTGTGTCCACATGTGCACACAGTCTGCATGTCCTAGAGTTTTGGATTAATGGCATTGGCAAAGGAGATTTCAAGACCGCCTGGTATTAACTTTGTCATGTGGTTGTTAGTGGTCACTCTTGTGCAGATGTATAATGAAAAAGAGCAAGCCAGTAAGCAGCACTCCTCCTTGGCCTGCATCAGCTCCTGCCTCCAGGTTCCTGCCCTGCTTGGGTTCCTGTCCTGACTTCCTTTGATGATGAACTGTAATATGGAAGTGTGAGCCAAATAAACCCTTTCCTCCCCAAGTTGCTTTGGTCATGGTGTTTCATCAAAGCAATGGAAACCCTAAGACACTTGGTTAGGGCTCCCCCACCCCCACCCCCTGCTTTGTTTTGTTTGTTTGTTCTTGAGACAGGGTCTCACTCTGTAGATCTGGCTGTCCTGGACCAGGCTGGCCTCTAACTCACAGAGACCTGCCTGCCTCTGCCTCTTGAGTGTTTGTATTAAAGGCGCATACCACCATACCTGGCTTAGTTAGGGTTTCTATTGCTGTGATGAACACCATGACCAGACGTAGCTTGAGGAAAGGGTTTATTCCATCTTCTACTTCCACATCCCTTCTATTTCCATGACTGAAGGAAGAAATTCAAGAAGCAAGCCAGGTGGAGGCCAACACACTTAATCCCAGCACTCGGGAGGCAGAGGCAGGTGGATCTCTGAGTTCAAGGCCAGCCTGGTCTACAGAGCAAGTTCTAGGACAGCCAGGGCTACACAGAGAAACCCTGTCTGGAAAAAAATAATCATTCTTCCCACAAGGCCCTAGGGTGCATAGGTGACATTAAAAACTAGCCAGTGGGGAGCAGCAGGCAGGGATGAGAGGAGATTAGGGAGGTGAAACTGGTTGGGATGTAAAATAAAGATAAATAAATAGCAAAAACTAATCAGCACATTGTACGAGTGTCCCAGAGGACGGTTCTGGGGACACAGTTCTCTCCGTCCCCCGAGTGGATCCTGAGGACTGAGCTTAGGTTGTTTGGCTCCTTGGTGAAGGCCTGTATCCATTGAGCCACTCACCAGCCCAAAAGAAAAATAACTTAATGGCTGGCAATAACCCCAGTGACAAGGAACTTGCCCTATGTTTGAAATAAGTAACTAGCTGTTCATAACGATGCATGCCTGTCCCCTCACCTCACCTTGGGAGGTAGAAGTAGGGGATCAAGAATTCAAGGTCATCCCTAACTATGAAGTGGTTTTGAAGCCAACCTGGACAACTTGAAACTCGGACTAAAAACAAAACAAACTAACTAACTAACTAAATATAAATAATTAGATATGTATAAAGGTCTGTTTCTGAATCTAGGCACCTATGAATAATCCAGGTCCCTGCTGTGTTTCTCCTTGAGTAACAGCTAAAGACACTCCTCAGGGGTCCAGGAACAGCCAAAGGGATGCCAGGAACCACAGGAAAGGTCATTTGGATCACTTATGGAGCACTGCCTGCATGTACAGTTTTGTGCTGGGTTCCAAGGAGAGAACAGACAGAGTCATTTGGCTCACGGTCGATGTCTCGGGGGTAGACGAGAAGCCATAGAAGGCTTCTAGACCGAGAAGAGGTAGACATCTGGGATTCCTTACCCAGGAGCAGCTTGCACCAGGACCTGACTCAAGAACTGGAAGATAAAGGTTCCTTTTCCCCCAGAAGACATGCAGCTGAGTTTTATCTCCCCCACATTCTCGTCCCCCCAGAGGCCCAGTCGAGTGTGGGCCTTTATCTGTGCTCTGCTTCCTCCCTGGAAACACCAGGTCTTTGGAGCAGGGGAACTTGGCAGGCTCTCCCCATGGCAGTCACAGTCGCCCTCCTCCTCCTGTGCTTGTGTGGGCACCCCCAGGCTGCTGCAGGTAAGGGGCAGGAGGTGGGGGATTCTGCAGCTATTTGAAAAGTTGGGAGGGACTGCTATTTTTTTTTCTCCATAGCACTTCTGAAAATGCACATGACTCAAGAAGACAGACTTACCTTGTTTGAATTCTCTTTGTTTTTAGTCCTGGAGAGACCCAGAGGCACCATGGGCCTAGTTATATACAGTTCCGTGTATTTTGAAAAATATAAGTATTAGGTCTGGGAGGTGTAGCTCAGAGAGTTCTTGCCTAGCACTCAGAGCTCTCAGTTCATCTCCAGCCAAGAGTTTGATCCCTATCACCACACAAATGGGGGTGCTGTGCCCATCATCCCAGAATTTGAGGGGAGACAGCAAGACCAGGAGATCCAGGTAATTCTCAGCGACATAGTCGATGTGAGGATACAAGATGAGGGTCTTGCTATGTGGTTGTGGTGGTGAATCTTCCAGCACACGTATCTCTAGGCAGGTCTGTGAGGGCATTTCCAGAGAGTTTTAACTGAGGGTGGGAGAGCTACCTAAAATGTCAGTGGCACCATCAAGTGGGCTGGGGTCCTGGACTCAATAAACACAGGGAAAGGACAAAGCCCGTAGAGCACAGGCATTCACCTTTCTGCGCCCAAGCCCATCCAGATGTAAGCATGTTTCTACCGCCATAAATTTTCCACTATGATGGACTGTGTTCCTTAAATCGTGAGCCAAGATAGTCTACATGGTGGTGCACACCTTAATCCCCACACTCGGGAGGCAGAGGCAGACAGAGCTCTGAGTTCAAGGCCAGCCTGGTCTACAGCGTGAGTTCCAGGACAGCCAGGCTGTTACACAGAGAAACCCTGTCTCATAAAAACCAAATAATAATAATAAGTAAAAATAAATAAATCGTATTCTCTTAAGTTCCTTTAGCCAGCTATCTTGTCAGATCAGTAAGAAAACTTCCAGCAGTCCAGGCTGGTCTTGAACACTCAGCTCAAGCATCCCTCCTTCCTCTGCCTCCTGAATGCTGTGACTACAGGTGTGTGCCACCACACCCATCTTACAGTTTTCCTTAGGTTTTTTTTTTATTATTATCTGTCTGTTTTGAGACAGGACATTGCTTAATAATTGTCTTGGCTGGCCTGGTACTTCTTATATATTGCAGCCCTTGCTCCTCAGCCTCCCTAGTGCTGGTATTACAGGCATGTGCTATCATACCTGGCTTAGTTCCCTGCAGAAAATAAAAGATGAGCAGATGAGGCTTTCACCAACCACTGCAGCCTGTTTCTGTCCTGACTCAGAGCCTCTCGTTGGCAAGGGAAAATGGAAAGCCTTTACATTCTTTACTCCACCATCCCTACCCCACTCACTCTTCCTGGGACTCAGGTATTCCAGGGTAGCCTTGAACTCCTTAAGCAGCTGGGAATGACACCGAACTTCTGATCTTCCTGTCTCTGGATGGCTGGATCTCAGGCATGCACGAGCTTGCTCAGTTTATGGGTTTATGCCGTGCTGGGGACCAGGGTCAGCACTTCATGCACACCAGGCAAGCATTCTGCGAGCTGAGCCCCGAGCCGCATTCCCAGTCTGTGAGAGGCTTTTGTTCTCTTTCAGTGCTGGGTATGGAACCCAAAACCTCAGGCAAGCACTTAACCAACTAAGCTCTAGCCCCAGCCCGCCTCCCTTTCCTCTTAGCTTCACTTGAGGAATGTGTTCACCAGCTAGACCAGTGCTTGGAGACCCCAGAAGGAAAGGAAGGCGGGGGGGGGGGGGGGGG